AAGACGGCAGAAGTTCAATGCTACTTTGGTTCCAACCGCTCATGAAATATTTGTCAGCCTTTAGACTCTTGTACGCCTTCATCTGACGTACCACCACGGTTTTTCATCAGTTTTAGCTAGCTATGTAGTTAGCTAAATTACTCCGCTCCTCCAGACTTTAGACGGAGGTGTTTGATCTTTCTCTGTTGCCATTTCTCTGTTAGTTTTTAAAAAATTCTCACCTTTGTGTACAACTATTTTTGGGAGTGGAAAGCAGCCCTTGATTTTCTCCCGATTTGATCGGTTGGAACAGCCGTAAACCAGAGGCATTACTGCTGCAGTATTGAACCAGCCTCCAGTTGGCTGCCCTCCATCTGCGAAGAACCTATTGAGATCCAAGTCCTTAACTTTGAGTTTTGAGACCTAAACAAGTCATAATGCACTCTGTAACCTCTGTCTATAATTTTCAAACCTCACGTTTTGCTTACTTCAATTAGTTTTTTTGTTGGCCACCGTGTACTTTTCGTACATGAACAAAATTATCTTTGGTATCATTTACACCAACTGGCGCTCAGTAACGTAGTTAGTTCTTCATGGTTCTCTTCAGCAACTGGATTTGATGCTGTCGGATTGGTTCAAACTAAATGGATCTGAGGAAGTGTTGACTTGCTTTCAATGTTAGTTGGTTCAGGAAATGTAATGATACGTGGCACAGTTTTTAAATTACGTACTTTTTTAGTCTTTGGCTTTGGGGGAAAGTATCAATTATTTTCAAGTCCAAATGCTCAAGTCACAAGTCAAGTTGCAAGTCTTTTTTATTTGGTCAAGTCACGTCTAAAGACATCAAATTTCTAACTCAAGTTCACATTTTCTGCTTGTAACTCTGATTCTCAGAGGCACTATAGAATTAAAGTTGACCTACTTTAGCATAGATACGTTTAAACTGAGGATGACGTGACCAGATGGGTGTTGGGAAATAACAGGAGAAATATTCATGACCTATTATTCAGCTGTTCACCTTAATGACATGTGATGGTGTCACGTGGCTTAGGCAGGACAAAGCTGATATACAACGTTTGAGGGCAGGTAAACCCTGCAGACCAGCTCTGCTTTCATACTTGGATGATGTGACTCAACGGGCATCTGATGTTAAATGATGTTGGATTTTCATTTTTCGACAAAACACAAACAGGAAGAGGTTTATTCTGCTTTTGTGTGACAATAACATGAAATTTCTCTGAAATGTCGAATGCAACTCAGTCTCAGACCAACATCAGTGTTGAGCTGCAGTATCTAGGATTATTGGAAAAAGTGACGCTGTCCACTCTGACTACATTACCATGCTGTGTGTTTCTCTTCATTAACATCACCATGTTGTTCACCTTGAGGAGTAAACTGGTATTTCGTGAGACCTCCCGTTACATCCTTCTGTTTAACCTCCTTTGTGCAGACACTATGCAGATGGCACTGAGTCAGTTACTGTACCTACTGGCTGCTTGTAGAATAACACTGACGTATCCGTTATGTGGGGTTCTTGTCATGTTCGCCATTCTCACAAAAGAAATCTCCCCTTTCACACTGGTGGTGATGTCTCTGGAGAGATATGTGGCTGTGTGCTACCCACTGAGGCACACTACCATCATCACCATGAGAAACACAGCAGTGGCTATCATTGCAGTTTGGGGCTTTGGTTCACTAAATATCCTCACACGAGTTATTCTACTGTTAGATTTTCCATTTGAAGACCTGGAGAGCCTACAGATGAAAGATTTTTGTGGTTGGTATATAATTCTTCTCGGGCCGATGTCAGATCTTTACAATAAAGGCTACACTTATTTTCTGTTTGTATCAACTGGTGGGGCGATCACTTGCACCTATATTGGTGTGATGATAGCAGCCAGGTCAGCCTCCACAGACAAAGCTTCAGCCCGAAAGGCTCGTAACACACTGCTGCTGCATGTGGTGCAGCTGGGCCTCAGTCTCTCCTCGTTCATGCACAACTTGCTCCTCGTAGCCGTCTCAAAACTGGTTACGAGGATCACGCTCGTGCGCATACAGAATGTTTTTTATGTGTTTTTAATAATTCTCCCCAAATGTCTGAGTTCTCTCATCTATGGCCTCAGAGACCAGACCATCAGGTACGCCCTCGTGTACCACTTATGTTGTCGACTGAAGCTCTCAGTCGTCACAGCAAAGGCTGAAGTCTCACCCTAATATACACAGATATGAATTAACCTCTATGTGTTTGTTAAAGTCAGCATTTATAAGAAACTAATTCAAAATACATGTTTGAAATGATTTTAAATGTTTCATTTTTAGAATCTGTATCAACTGTTTTGTCAATATTTCTTGAAATCCACCCACAGAAACATGTCAACATTATCATTCTGACAACCAACAAAAGCTGTTAGTCACAATGATTTGAAAAGTATTTGTTCAGAGTTGTCGTCTTTTAACTTTTTAAAATAACTTTGTCCTAAAATGTGTTTGCAGGAGATAAGAGCCTGGGTGGATTACACAGGCAGCCCCCCCACCTCAACACCACCAGCTGCATCCAAACACACCATTGTCCCGGTACTCCAAACAATATCGCTTTTTGTCTCTGTTACTTCAGACACCCCCCCCCCCCCCCCTGTATAGCTGGGTTAGGGTAAGCCTGCAAAAAAGAGTTACAGAGGAAGGGATGGAGATACGGAGGAAAAAGAAGCAGACAGTTCCCTGGATAATTATTGCAAAATGTATTTATTTCGTAGGCATATCTGTTTATTTCATAAGCACAATTATTTATTTATTTAATATAAATGGCATTTCATATCAGTTCAGTTACTGCTCGTAAACGTCGTCATACCCATTCACTAAACTCTAACTAAATCCAGATTAGTTTAAGGTGGTTCAGCATCAGAAACCACATAAAAAAGTACAGGACCCAAATGTCCGACTGTTGTTGTTTTTGTTTGTCATGTGTTTGTTGTGTTACAAATGGGCTACAACTGAATTTGTTTGTGCATCCCTGTGCTGCATAATGACAATAACTGATCCTTTCTGCGAAACAATTTTTTCGCGCAACGAGGTTACATACAGAGTCAATGTAAAGACATGAATGGAACGTGAATACGCAAAGTTCGCCTCTTTCGAAATTCTTATAACACTGTGACGAGAAATCCTAGCAGCGTTGAGGGTTCTTCTCTTGTCATCACTTATTTTAGCTGGCGGTGTTAACTCAGAGCATATTATCACCCTGTGGTGTTTGTTCCGTAGCTAGTGTTTTGCAGTTTTAGCTAGCTAAACTAGCTGCCGGGAGATAGCTAGCTTGAACTGCGAAACACTAGCTGCAGAACAAACAAACGAGGATAATATCGCAGATATGGCTGGCTGTGTTTCCGGCAATATCACCACCATGGTCTGTGTTTTTTGTCATTAGGGCCCGAGCAACTGACAACGTCGGGCCAGGCGAGGCCCTATTGTTGTTCTAACGTTTAGGTAAACGTACGCATTTTTGGAGGACTTGCCATGCATGAAAACTCACCAAATTTTGGGGACTTGTCAGGCCTGGTGAAAATAGCCATCT